TCCCACATTAGATAAAAAGTTTTTTTCAGTTTTATTGCAATTTTCTACTTTTTATTTATGTGAATTATTTTTCTTAACCCTAAATAACATCAAAAACAAGAAGTGAGAAAGACTACACTGAACTGAAGAAGAAATGAGAGTCTCCTTATCTCACATTCAACCAAATATTGAATAAATTGCAAAAAAAATAACACCCAGCACAGGTTTCACACTAAATAAGCTGCACAACCAGTTGAATAAAAACAGTAAATAAGTTCATATTTGTGTGTTTATTTTGTAAAAATCTATGGTTTTATTTCATAGCATTTAAATGCCTACCCTTTAAAAATTTTGCTAAGTGTGCCATGATATTTTCACTTGCTTCTAGGTGTGCCATTGCTTAAAATGGTTGAGAAACACTGGATTATATTTTCTGTATGAATATAGAGTAGGAGTTTTGTTAATAGGAATTCTAGGAGTATCATCAATAAAATTATTGATAATAAAAGTATCCAAAGACAGCTAAGAGAAAACAAAAGAAATAAAGAGTTAATATATTAGCAACCTATCTTCTTTGCCTACTAATAAGATATTTTGTTAAACATAAGATATTTTCTCTTATTGGCATCAAGTAATGCCTCCTGTTGCCATAACAGTAGAATAACTCATTAGTAATTAAAAGAGATCGGACTGTGTAAGCAATAAATATTTATGACATGTTTTATTTTATATTAGAAAATGAGTTAGCGAGGAATTTTTTGCCAGTTATTTAATAACGTAATGCTTAATTTCCTGTTCAAAAAGACAAAAATAACTTGTCTTTAAATAAAAAATTATATATTGATTGAAGTGCAAAAATAATACAGACCTAATAACATGTAGTTTCTCCCTTTGCCCAAATCACCAAGATATATTATGGCATCAAGGTGCTGTAGTTAATACATGATTATATTTATCCAGGCATGTTCCAAGTCTACCTACAACTCAGTTGTATTTTTTGGATATGGCGGCAAAAAATTTGGTAGTCTGCAACATGTTCTATACATGCTAAACATGGTTTAATTCTGGTGAGCATAGGGGTCAAGTACTTGAAATTCAGCTGAGTGTTTCTGGAGCCACTTTTATATCATCTGCACACAATGTTGTGGTGGGGTGGTATTATCTTGCTCAAATAAATTATCACCACTAGGAAAGTGTTAAAAACAAAATTCTGTTACCTTTCTAGGCATTGCTGTTTGTTCTTTTATTAATTCTTAATATATGCAATTAATTATGGGGCTAGCAACTCCAACCTGTAAAAACTTACTTGGTACAGAAACCATGGCTGTATCACCTAGCATGGTGAGGCTGTGGCCCTATGCTCCACAGGGTTAACAAATATACATATGTAGCAAAGGTTGCTACAGATTGTAATGAACAAGGTTGCTGTTGGTCATCAACTTGTAGCAAAAGGATTTACAATTTGTCACCACAGAGTATGAAAACTTTTAATGTAAATGAATCTGACTTTTTCAACAAGTAGATGAATTTTACATATATATTTATTGTTAGGAAAATTAACAACAAAGTGGGAAAAAATTTTGTCTGCTGCGTTTTGGCCTGTAGGACTTCATGGAACTAAAGTGATGTTTAAGTTGGTGTAAATACACATGTTCATAAAGGGGAAGTGATGCTGAAATTTTAAACTTTTAAATTTAATTTCCTTTTTAAAGATAAAAGAAATACTATTAAAAAATTAATATTAGTTGATAAAGATACTAGTAAAAAAAATGTAGACTAATACAATAACTGAATTAAGTACTAATTATCTTTTAATTCATCTTAAATGTCTCTTTTTAAATATTGTCACTGAAGACTTAAAAATTTACATTCCGACTCTCTTTCTGAGAAATAATTACTTCTGAATATCATTTTACTTGAATCTTTTTACTGAGTGTCGGCTTTATTGTAAATATTTGAAAGGAAATCTGCTGCCTGCTTTGTACTTCTGAGCAAGACTCTTTTGCAGAGATAATTAAAGGGAAGCAAATCAAAGAATTTCACAGAACAATCCGGAAAGCTTTTAATTGGTTAGGAATTTGTGAAAGAGAAAAAAGATTGAAATGATGAAAAATTAATAAAGATAAAAAGATGGAAATAGCAAGCAGAATGAGAAATGGCGTGGAAGAGCAAGCAGGAATAGATTCTAAGACAGATTTTGCATTATGAATGTTACTAACATTATTGCTACTTTAATAAATGCTGATTTAATTAATGATAAAAAAATAATGATCATCATCATAATCCTGGTTATTATGATTATACTTTTTTCTTTTGCACGGTTTTTCATTTTCAACTAGAGATTTTGTATTATGTATGTTTTCCATCAAGATACAGATAGATAACACCTCTTGCAGAATATTTGCAGTACCAAGCAATGAAGACTTCTGAAGCAATGAGATACTAGGCTTTATTGTGATTTTCTTAATGTAGTACTATAAGTTTGATGATATAGACCCCGATGCCTCAATGATTACTGTGACATCCAACATTCTGGTAACTTCAATCAGGCTCCTCCTCCTCCTCCTTCTTCTTCACTAGAAAATATGCATGTGAAATCTTTCGTTTTTTTAACTGGGTTTGAACACCAACCATTATGATCAGTGGGAAATTAACTAACTCAATCACAAGGCAAACATCAAGAATAATAATTATGAGTGCAAGTGAAGGTTTAATGATGAAGTGTTGAAAACAGTAGCAAAAATGTAATCGCCTATAATATTAAACATACATGCAAAAAAAAAAAATGAACTCAACAAAAGTTTCAAATTCTTCCTGCAGAATGTAGTGACATTCCATACCTATTTCTCGACCAAGTCTATCCTTCACATCTATAAATCAACCATCCGACTTTGAATGGAATACTGCTGCCATATATGGTCTGGTGACCCCACTGATCATCTTAAGGTCCTCAACAAAATCCAGAGACAGATATGCAATGTGATTGGCCCTGATCTAGCATCTCATCTACAGTCGCTCTCTCACAGACATGTCATCGCCTCCCTCTGTCTTTTCTACAAATACTTTCATGGTAACTGCTTCTACAAGCTACTTTTGCTAGTTCCCAGACTGCATCAATTTAAACGTACAACTACGGTGGGATCTCAGTCCCACCCTTTCACTGTTGAAACGGTTAAATGTAGCCGCCTCTTCTACTCCAATAGCTTCATGTCTCACACCTCCCATCTGTTGAATTCCCTTCCTCTTACTTGTTTCCCTGATAGCTATAATCTCCAACTATTCAAATGCAATGTCAATCAACATCTCCAGATGCCTTGATCTATTTCCTATCCTTCTCTTCATCCTTTCCTCTATCATGCCTATTTACTCTTGATCCTACTCTCTGTAACCCCTTGCATGCTAGTGGCATCCTGCTTTGCTTGGGGTGAAATGCTTAAAAAAAAATTTCATTGAGGAAAGCATGTACTTGAATTTTTCTACTTTCTGCCAATGATGTTGGTGATGACCCAGTCATTCTGCTAATGATATTGCAGTGCTTGTGAAGAAAAAACTTTCAAAATTATAACAGACACATTATTAGAATATATTCTATTAATTAATCAGTTTCAGACAACATAAAACTTCTTTTTATCGAAAATTATTAATAAGATATGATATCCTGACTGAGTGAATATCAACTTAAAATTTAATTAACTTATCATTTACATAGAAAGATAAAAATTACGCAACATTTAAAACAAATATCAAATTATTAATCTGCAAAATTTAACATTTAAGCATGTAGTTATTAAGTTACTAAAAATTAGATTCTTCAATTAACACATTTTAAAATTAAATCGAGCATTTTTCTGTTAAATATTCATGCACATTTTGTATTTACTGTTGTGTCTGTATGTGAGGTATAAATAAAAGGACAATATGTCAGGTAGTTCAAGTAGTCAATCAGTGAGAGACCTCATGATAATCTGAGCAGCAGCTAGATGTAACAGTCCAAGTTGAAGTCATTAAGAAATTTTCCTGTGTCTAGTTTATTCCTTGTCATACAAAAACTGTCTTCAGAAGAAGAAACTGAACAAAAAAATCCCCACAACTATTTCTGGAATATAAAATTTTTTAATTTATACTTTCTCTGCTTTCTTCTTTTCCTTTTCTTTGTGGACAAGTTGAATATTTTTACAAGGTAAAAATTTTCATCCTCCTCAACCTTATGCAATATAATAGCAATAATTTAATAAGTAGGTTTATAGTCAATGTTGAAGCTCAGGTAAAAACCATGTTTTCAACATGATTTTTCACAATAATCAGATCTGCCCCCACCACCTCTAACCGATGACTGGCTTAATGCAATCTTCTTTTCTGTATTAATTCCAAGCTAAGACTGGTAAATATCGATAATGTTGTTAGTCTTCAGAATTTTTGTGGCGCTGTTTCTGTCTCTGCCTCTGCTGAAGGTATCAAAACCATTCCAGTGCTGATCAGATCAATAATGGTAGCCCTTCCTGGAACCAACTTCATCAGTATAAAAATATTGACTCAATATGGTGTACAACAGACAGGCTTTCTATGTTTGATGCTGATTGAAGTTGCATCAGTAATTGTAAGGGTGGTACTGGAAGAGAAGAGGCTAAGTTCTTACTTGATGCTTGGCATTAGATTAAAGAAAGGGGACTAAGAAGCAAGAACGCTTGGTGGGAGTGTCTTGGTGAGGGTAATGGGGCAGTAGTAATATGCCATCATCAACTGACCTCCTTCTGACGGTTACACTCCCTCACTTCTTCCTTTTCCCAAAATCCATCATTGTTTTCTTTTTTCTTTCTTTTTTATGTCTTTTTTCATTCATTCTGACATTTTTCTTTCTTTTTCCCCCTCTTCATTTGGTTTTATTTATTCTTATTTTTTGCTTTAATTTTTTGAAAATAATTTTGCTTCTTTCATATTTTTACTTTTTTTAATTTTTCATTCTTTTGTTTACTTCTGTTTTCGTTCCTCTTTCTGTCTTTTTGCTTCCTTCATTTTTGTAGTTTTAGAAATCTTTTCTCCCTCTCGCCTTTCTTACTTTCCTTATTTCCTCCTATTTTTCTTTCTTTCTTCCTTCCCGTCACTTCTCCTTTCTTTCCTCCTTTCTTTCTCCAGTCTATTTTCTTTCTGTTCAGCCCTCTATTTGTCTCCCTCAAAACTCTTTCATTCATTCATTCATTTCCCTACTTCCTTCCTAATCTATTTGATTCTTTCCTTTCTTTTTTTTATTTTACATTCCTTATCCCATCACTTTTTTTCGATTTCTATTTTTCTCTCCCTTCGGAATTCTTTTATTATTTCTTCCTTTTTTTGCTGCACCCACTTACTTTCCGACTATGTCTACCAAATCACCCATAAGGAATCCGATTGCCTTGAATTTAAGCTTTCAATACGGGTGAAAAGCCATTTCTGCTGGACCAACAGCAGCAAATTCTAAAGCGAAAACAAAACGCGCACAAGACAGAACACGTCTGAATGCGCATGCGTAAGTTAAGTATGTACTCCAAAAGTGCACGGAGAGAGAAGCAAGCAAGTGTACTTTTTTGTGCATAGGTGCGGTTGTATTCGTGAACGCCTGTCTGTTTACTACTGGCAGATATGTGAGTGTGCATGTGGGCTAAATTTATGTATGTGTACGGCGTACGCACTTGTGTACTAAACCACGCGTAACTAGTGTATTTTTTAGTGGTGCGCATAATAAAATAATGAAAATAAAATTGCTTTTACTTTTTTTTTATTTTATATCAGTAAAATAAAAAATAAATGAGAAAATAATACCTTTGTAAATGCTTGGGTTGCTGTACAAGGTTACACGAAAAAAAGGATCATTAGAGATTTAAAAAGTAAAACTTATTTATTTTTTTCGTCTTTTAATTTTATTTTTATAGTTAGATTTTTCTTATTTTGCATTTACGTCCAGTCAATCAGTGTGTGCGTGTTGATTTTTCACTTATGTGAATAAGTGAAAAAAAGTCTCAAACTAAAAAAAAAAAAAAAGTATTGTTTTCTGTCACTAATATGCAGAGCCGATGCAAAGGTTTCGTGCCCCCCGAATCTATTACGCCCTCGAATCTTTGATACGGCCCCCGCTCTACTTACATCCCAATTTTCATAAGGTTTAAACATACAAATTTTATTGTAAAAATGTAACCTGTATAAGATCATATGCAACTAGAAAAATTGAAAATATATACAAATAAATGCATCTTCTTTAAATTAAATTATACAAATTATTTTACATCATTTCCATAAATAAAAAATGCAGGAGATTTTTCTTGTTAAAAAGTTGAATGACTTTTTAATACATTATGGATGAAAAAAATTATGATTTTTTTTTATTAGTTTTTTTTTTTTCGAGACTTAGCAATAAACAAATTCACAGATATTTGAACAAAAGAAAAACAAACCTCAGAATGACGACAAAAAATCTACGAAAATGTTTCATTTATTTTATTTAAAAGCACAAAAATTAATTAAAGTTCAATTTTAAATTGTCAGTTGTACTTTAGCTTAACTTGTAACGTATATGTAGGTAGAACAAATCAAATGTTGACAATAAGAGCGAGGGTCACAAAGCCCTGCTCGAGGCCCCCAATTAGGCTTGTCCCCATCCTCGGTCGGGGTTGTTCAGGGGTAGTATGACACACAAATGTACTCTTCTTGTTGCTATCATGTAAGCGAATGTCAAAAGACTGTGCACACGATACGCTGCCTGTCTGTGTACTACACGTGGAGAAAAATTATGGTAGTAAGAAAAGAACTAAACACGTGTACCTACATAAACCGTAATAATACGTAACAGTTTTTAAGTGGAAGTAGTGGTAATGAAGCAAATGAACTGAACTGAAATTATTAAAAATTGACATAGCATTCCATTAATTAATTAATTTAATTTCCTAGTTCTCTAGACTCTTTACACGGTGTTGAGTTTTATTTATTTATTTATTTTTTAAACAAGTTGTGTCGTGTGCCATAATTGCTCGCGTCCCGAGGAGGTTTCTTAGCACATAAAAGAAAAAAAAATAAATTGAGTTAAATTAAAAAAGCATAACATGCGCGCACACACAAACTAAACACATGAATTTATTTCTAATTCTACATTATTTCTTAGTACTATATAAACATTGGTTTCAGTGATTAAAACAAGAATACAGGTCTGATACTTGTCGGATGTCACGTTTTTCTTTAGTAAGACTTTTGATCTCTAGGCCGATAGTCATTAATTTCAGTTAAAAAAACAGAACGGATGTCTACTGAAACACGTGTACTCACTCTGCCTATGAGAGATATGGCGCGGTGTATACACATAGCTACCTTTGTGCATTTTTATTTTATTTTTAGGAGGCGACATTCTTTTATTGACTCATGTCTGATTATTAAATTTTTCTATTGTTTTTGTTTTTTTGTAGTTAAGTTAACTTTTCTTTTCTTGTTTGTTTTAGGGTCAACCGTTAACAAAACATATATCATCATGAATGTAACTCTTTCTCTTCCCTTTTACGCCTTTACACGACAATCTCATTCGGTAACCAGGAACCCTCTACCTTGAGTGACTATTGGGCTTTATATTGATGAACTATATAGTTTAAAAAAAAAGAAAAAAGGAAAAAAAAAGGGAAAACTGGATTCAATGAGATTGCCCAACCAAACGTTTGATGTAATTTAGCGTTTTCTTCAAATTTTGGTTCAAGATCAGAAAAATATAGGTATTTCTTTTAAGTCAAGTGAGATGTTTTGTTTTCGAAATTAGGAAAATTCGGTTATTTTTAACAAGATAAGAAAATTCGGTAACTATGTTGAAATAAAAGTTGATTGAAAATTGATTTTAGGGCTGTTCTGGAATAGGGATTTGGAGGCTAAGACACCTCCCCTATATTTTTAAATAACTGAAAATCGTGGGGTCCAGAAAACCCCACTACAACAATACCAGGGCCGTACTTGCAGAAGTGGGGCTAGGACACCTTCTCCAATATTTTTAAAAAAGCATTATTAACTATGGGGTGGGGGTCTAGATAAATCTTCACAACAACAATACCAGGGCCGTACTTTCCCACACGTTTTCGGTTTTATTAACTAAAAAAATCATGGGTTCCAGTCCAGATAAAACCCCACTGCAACAATACCAGGGGCGCACTTTTCTGGATAGGGGAGGGGGTAGAGTGCCCCACCTCCAATATTTTTAAATAAATATTTTTAAATAAAGTATTGTTTTAATAAAATCGATTTATCTAAGTTAACTTAAAAAAAGTTTTAAGTTTTTATATCTTCTTATCAAATTATTATTTTAATAAAAACGTAGTAAAGTTTTAGATTATTTCTTTTTAAAGAAGTAAAAACTAGCCTCATCCACCAAAAAAATTCCCACTCCAGAGCGGTCCCAAAATCAATTTTCAATCGACTTTTATTTCATAGTTACCGAATTTTCCTACCTTATCAAAATTACCGAATTTTCTGGGCACCTTGTTTTCCATGGGGCTAAAAAAAAACAAAAAAAAAACTGTATAATTATATACAGAAAACAACTTATAATTTTTAAATTTTCACCACACGTCGTAAACATGAAAAATTACATTAAAAAAAAAAAAAAAGAAAAAGAAAAAAAACTTCAACTGGAGTAAAGAACTGAAATACTTGTACCAGGTAAGCGAAGCCCGTACAATTATCACATCGTCGGGAAAGGAGATGAGCATTGCCAATAAACACTCAGGAAATAAAATGCCATCAGGACTTGCGAAATATGGAACTCAGAGAATCTGATAAAATAATTTAATAATTATATTGTTATTTTTTATGTGAAACGCTAAAATAAATGAAAATGAATAGTTGTGTATACGTTTTTTTTTTTAGTTCTTAAGAGCTTATTTACTCATGATGTGTGTAACACAGTTGTTAGAAGTGTGATGTGCAAATGATACAGACAAGACGTCTTCTTATGTGAGATAAATATTGGATAACGTTCGCGTGTTTTAAGATTGCTCGTTTAAATGTGTTTGTTTTGAGTGCTTGCTTCCCGGGTATGCATGCCCTTTAAAATTTGAAATAAGTAATTTGCGTTTGTGTGTGTGTGTGTGTGTGTGTGTGTGTGTGTGTGTGTGTGTGTGTGAGAGAGAGAGAGAGAGAGAGAGAGAGAGAGAGAGAGAGAGAAAGAACAAAAAATTGTGTCGATTATTTTTTATTCTTTCCCTCATTTTTCTTATTTGTTCGTTGCATCAACAACCGTTCATTCTGCAACACATGACACTGGTGGTTATTATTCATGCTATACTTTGCCGCCAAACCAATAATGCCTTGACGACTACTACTAGTGTTTCTGCTGCAGCCACTACTGCTTCCAACTTGAACCCACGATAGTGCCACAACGTTTTCCCACCATTTTCGCTTTCTTTCTTTCCTTTCTTCACTATCACCTCTTCCTACTACAGAAACAAACCCTGCCTTTATTTCTCGGCTTTTTTCTCTGTCTAGTTTTCTACTTTTTCTTTTTATGAACGCCGGCCTTACACGCCCTTTCTTTCTCTTTCCTGCTTCGATATTCTACGCGTGACATCGTCAGAGTAAAGGAATTCCCTTTTGTCAGCTATCAGGTGGCTGCATGTTGCGACCAAAACTGCCTGTTGTCTGCAGTTGAATCGGAATTTGTTTTGATTTTGCTTACGCTTTTTTTAAAAAAATACTTTTTTTGTAGTTTTTACTTTTTACTTTCAAACAAAAAAAAATTCTGGAATAATCAAGTTCGGATGAATCTTTCAATGAAACATCTCTCAACGTTTTCCCGACATTTTTGTTCATTGTACGGACAGCATTCAGCGTTATTATATTGTGAGTTTTTATTTTTAAATCAAGCTCCTGTGTATGTGGAGAAATCTATCTTCACTCTAAACCTTTTCTATCTCTAAATCTATCTATCTATCTATCTATCTATCTATCTATCTATCTATCTATCTATCTATCTATCTATATCTCATTCAACTCTAAAGTATTTTACTTTTCTTTCTATTTTGTGATATTTTTTACTTTGCTATACATCCCAATTATTTCATTTTCCTTTCAAAATCTCTTATATTTTCTATTTCTCTTCATTTTTCTTCCAATCTTTTTTTTTATCTTTGCTTCTTCTTTTAGTTCTCTTCTTTCTTCATCATAATTTTTATTTTCTCCTCCCCCACTCCACTGCTTTTATTTCCCTTTATTTCACACTTATGCTCTCTTTCACCCCTATAACCTTTCATTTTAACTTTCATTATATCACCATCAACTTCCAAAGGAAACATGAATCTTATCTTTAATCCATACATCTACAACCATCCTAGCAGTATTATCATTTCTATAAGTAACCAAGCACAGTCTGCCAGAAAGGAATAACTATTTCATTGCAACAATACGAAAGGAATCTTCAATTCACAGTTGTCTGCTTGCTCGGGAATGATCACAACCAAAGCACATGTTGAACTAAACAACTTAATTACCCAAACAAGGAAAAATTTCAAATGGTAAGATAAATGAAAAAATTATCATCTTTTTAATTTATTTTGAATTTTTTATAAATATAATTATCGTAATTGCTGTGTGGTTTTGTTTATGCTTCAGATCACTTCTGCTTATCTGCTAGCAGAACGCCCATTCTTTGAATTCCAAGATTTTGTTTTGAAGCATAACTCACTTATAATTCCATTAAGAAGGGAATGGGAGCATATGGGAGTGAAAGAGGGAGGGAGTGAGATTGTAAATCTGTAAGGAATGTCTGGAACTTGCAACAGATCCCAAAACTGATTTTGCCTTTATATGGATGGTACTGCACTGATGCCTGATTCCTTCTTCATACACACATCTCAGTGACTGATGAGTGAATACTAGATCTATTTACATTATATATATTGATCTATACATATAAATACTCATGCATATGTATGTGTTGATATATTTGGGAATTATTGCATGTGTGTGTGTGTGTGTGTGTGTGTGGAGGGGGCATGTGTTACTTAACAGTGTATTAAATAATATCAAAAGTATTTTTATTTTTCACAAAACCTTAGTCTGAAGTGTATTTCATGTAAACATCAATGATTCCACTATTATTAATATTATTATTGTTATAGGGAGTATCAAAAGTATTTTTGTCTTTTACAAACCTTTACTCCAAATTTTATTTCATGGAAACATCTAATATATATATATATATATATATATATATATATATAATTTAGCTGGATTGATGTGAGTTTGTGACCCTGAGTTTCACACCATTTGCGATCGTCAGACAAACAATTTCCTGCAATATTTATTTATTTTGCAAATATCATATATATATATATATATATATATATATATATATATATATATAAACTTAATAAAGAAAGTATACTGTCTGGCAGGATTTGAACCTGCATACCACATTGCAAGAGCCACCTGATATGGCATGCTTTGTCTGATGATCACAAATAGCATGAAACTCAGGGTCACAAACTCACATCAATCCAACTAAATATGTTAGCTCTATCACTAATATTGAGTGCTTTCCAATAAGTACCATGCATATATAATATATAAATAATATATATAAAAAATTGCATATCTATATATACACACATTTACATATATATATATATATATATATATATATATATATTTATTTATTATCTATACCATTCTGCTGTACCTTTTAAGGTTCTTAATTATTGTTTAAAATAAACAGAGTGTCTACTCAAATATGGGCATCCACTAAAAATAATGAGAAAAATCTGATCACATGAATGTGCTTGAGAGGCAGAACAGAACATTGCTTTGTAGCTGAGTGGTCAAAGCATGCCATATCAGGTGGTGGTTCCTCTTACAAAGTGGGACACAGGTTCTAATCCTATCAGAGAGTATACTTTCTTTATTAAGTTTTATATAAATATATATATGTATATATAAATAAAAAGAAAGAACATTAAGATATATAATCCAGTGTTCTTATTGGTATTTTTATTTTTACAAAATAGTGCTCAATGTAAAATTACAGAGCATTAATATTATAAATTAACTGATTTAAAATATAGTTTTTTTGCTACACAGTATTAACCATGTTTCGAAAATGGAAGCTGAAAGCTTCAAATTTAATTTTGTAATTAAATTAAAAACATTAGTTCTATTTCATCCTCAAGTGATTTTTGGACTCCTAATGTTTTTAATTTAATTACAAATTAAATTTGAAGCTTTCAGCCCATTTTGAAACATGGTTAATACTAGCTTAAAAAACTATATTTTAAATCAGTTAATTTATTATATATATATATATATATATATATATATATATATATATATATATATATATATATACTATGTAACCATCAATATTCAATCAGTACCTGGTGGTTGCTTTGTGCATGAAACTCAGTGTCGTCCTACTGGTGAGGAAAAAATGTATATTTATTATTAATATATATGTGTTTGTGTTTGTGTGTGTGTGTGTGTGTGTGTAGCCTGAAGATGGCATTCGTGCATGCAACAGAGTGGTGCTACTCAGTATTGATATCACTGTCCACACTTGTTATATTTGTGCATACTCTATCCCAGGTATTGGTAAATAGGTATAATGAGAACAAAATAAAGGAAAGCAAAGTAAAGACATTCAATTATAAATTTTCTACACATATTCAATTTAGCAAAAAAGAGAGTGACATGATTATGAAAACTCTTGGTCCATCATTTCTGTGTCACATGGACCATATGAGAGATAATAGAGTTCTGCTGGAACCTGAACAGTTACCTCCCTTGATCTAGGGTTGAACAGCCACATGCTGGACGTCAGTGTAAGCAGTGACATTGTGCCTGAGACCCTGCAGAAAAATGTAGGGTAGCATGACATGTACCTTATTGCTAGCAACCTCCAAGATCCTCATAGAAGGCATGGACCTAGTGTACATCACTGTGAATTCTTTCATGATGTTTTTTGCATTGCCACCTGCCATTCCTGTTGTTTACCTGGCAATTTAAAACTAGCTATTTCTAGGATGGTGGCTAGTACCATCAGCATGACCTGCCTTCTTGTTTCCTGTGTTAGATTGAAGACTTTCATAAAAGAGAAATGTTAAAATTAAGTCCCCAATTTAAAACAGTCCTGACCTACAATGATTTGTGGTGATGATGCAATCTCAATTAATTTTATTACCTGGTTGTATGCCATATTGGATCTTTGTGCATTCGCTCTCTTTTGTTTGTGTTGTGTTTGAGAAAATATTATGGCTTCCAAGCATAGTGTAACCTCTTCTGATGGCAGTGCTTCAATTAAAAAGAAATTCATCACCATGGAAGTGAAATTAGACATTGTTAAACAATCTAAAAAGGGATAAATTATGATGAACATTGCTTTCAACTGTTGTGACGATTATTATGTTAATATATGTCATAGAAATGTGTTATTATGTCCTAGATTATTACTTTACTACTGTGTTAACATAGGTGAGTGACATAAAGGCTTATACATGGAAAATCACATTAGGGCGCATTAACTTTTTTTGTTAATAGCTGCCTTTTGTTTAATTAAGTGAAAAAAACAAAAAACACATCCTTATAACTTGGTGTCTGTGTCTGTGTGTGTGTGTGCACGTGTGTAAACTACTGCAATTGTCAAACAACCAGAACATTCTAATTGCTTGATCACAGTAGGGTAAAACTTGATTAGCAGTCTGTACTTTGTTTCTTTTTAAGTTGTGTCACTAGGTAACATAATTTGCTCTGGCTTGGTCATTTAGACATAGATCACTCATTGTCTTTTACTGTTTAGATAGGTGTTTGTCTTTGACTTTTTTTTCTTCTGAGTTTATGTTTCATCTTGCTTTTATGTTTATTGGTTTTATTTTCTTTGATCACTTAGCAGGGTTTGTGTTGTTTTTTTTACTCATACTTTGGTTTCTTGTTTATATATATATATATATATATATATATATATATTGAACAATAAAAAATATTAAAAAAAATTAAATAAATTAAAATCTTCAGACACACTGTGTTGTAGATTAATATTCTTTCGTTTTTATTATTATTATTTCATTTAGATTCCTTGACTAGTTTCAGCCAACATGGCCATCATCAGGAGAAAATATAGGCAGCAATTTTTGCATTTATTTAGGTTTGGCTGAAGAGCATTGAAAGTTTATTGATATGTAATTCAGTGCTGAATTCTGTCGGTGGACGTATACAGTTTGGGCCATATTTACTACCTTCACAGTAATTCCTTGTACTTAACTTTCAAATTAGGGTTAGGTGGGTTTTTTTTGTTGTTTTTTTCGGTTATTCTTTTTCTTTTTTCTTTTTTTTTTAAAGAAGAAACTTTTAACTTTCAAATTAGAGGGTTAGGTGTTTTTTTTTTTTTTTGGTTATTTTTTTTTTTAAGAATAAATTTAACTTTCAAATTAGGGTTAGGTGTTTTTTTTTTTCTTTTGTTATTCTTTTATTTGTCGATGTTTACATATATTTGAAAGTTAACTTTATTCTTAAATTAAGTAAAAAAAATCGCTTTACGAAAACGCGTACTAATTTCTGAAAGAAAATAGTTCAGCAGTAAATGATGCTCGGGTGTTAAAATGAAAATTTACCTTTATTTCTTTAATAGTTTGACCATTTTTCAGGTTTCTGAAGAAAATTTGATCATAAATTGTCCAATGTTTTGTGAGTGCTTTCAGCTTTCATGTGAATATATAGTTTTATTTTGTCTATTCGTATGCATTGTTTTCTTTGAGTGTTGTGTTTTCCATGCATCAATAATAAATGTCATGTGAGAGTATCACTTGAAAAAAATGATATGAGACATATACAGACAAAATGTTATCAATGCAAAAATAAAACTTACATAAGACATTTAAACAATGTATCATTTTCCTCCTAAGTCTTGGGTCATCTTGGGGTGTTGTTTTCAAGCACTTTTCCAAAAGTACCACATACTGTGATCACCTCCTCACACTGAACATTAAGGAAGTCTCCTTCCTGACAAATCAACCCTGGTAAGATACAAACCTGAGTTTCATGGTTGGAAAATGAACTTTCTAACAATTTGGCTATGTGCCCCCTCCCCACTTATAATTTACATAGGTGTATGTAAAGCAGAAAGAAAGAAAATAAAGAGAAGAAAAGAAGAAAAATAGAGAAACTTGACACTAAAAATCAAAATTTGTTTTATTTTTTTTTTAAATTAAGGGTTTTTGGTTTTTGCATATGAAACTGAAATACGGTAAAATCATTTT